ACATAGGTTTAATTACGTAGTATTCATGACACGTTGTGCTCGGTATCGGCGAAAGTCGCCTTCGGTTTCACGAGGAGCTTTCGCCCTCATGAATTCGAGCGATGTGACAAGGGTCCTTGGGCGACATCGCCGATCGCCGCAAGCGCTTTGCACATGCTCGCGACGTCGCATCGCCCTCCCATCGAAGGAGCTGCCCTACTTCGCACACACGGAGCCTAGCGTGGCAAGCATACCTAGCCTGCAGGCCAACCAATCTGAACGGTTCTCACTCACGCGTACCGCTGCAGTCAAGGAACCTCCGGCATTTTCATAAGCCAAGTCTGCAGTCTGCATGACAGTCGCGAACCGCATGTATGCAGCTGTTTCTCGGATCCCTTGCTTTGCGATGCTCTCCTGTCGGCCGGGAGGCGCGTGCCTGTCGCGTCGTGCTTCGGGATGTAGCGGCGCAGGTCTAGGAGTATGTGCGAGCTGGCGAAGGACGGGGACGACAAGGCCCACCTAGAGGCGGGCGATTCAGTGCTGAACGGCCGACTTGAGGAAATGAACGATAGGCTCACCATACCGGCCAACGGCGTCTTACAGAGCTTGTACATTAACAGGCTGAGGAACATCGTGACTGGGGCGTGGAGTCTTTGAGAAGAACTGACACGCCAGATATCAAGGCAAATGCCTGCGTGCCATCTCGCAGGAAGATACTGACGATGGACTGCTCCTAGAAGGTGCACAAAACACTGTGGTAGAACTTGGCGAGTTGTCAGGATAAAGAGAGAGGTCTCGAATGTGAGCAAAGACGCCCTGGACGAGTCGAGAAGACTGGGGTGTCTCTGTCCAGGCGAATATGGTGTAAGAAGTGGTTATATCAGTATGGCCCAAATATTCTGGAGATGCGGGCGACGAGACGAGCTGGCATGGACCTTATGCTTGGCAGCACGTTGCAGAGACAAACCACCATCTACGCGATGGTCGCATTCAGGACTGCACACACAACGAGGTTATTTTCGCTGCGCGATGCGTATACCGTGAAGACACGGTCGCACTGAGCATGACGTAGTGCAGGATAACGGGGAATACGTACAGTGTGAGACAAGAATAGCCTCCATGCCTGGTGTGATGACCTCCATGTAGAACATGATGGGGTCGTAGAAAACCCATCTTCGGCAGGTTGAGGCGGAGTAGCTGTGATTGTACCCCTGGGCGATGACCATCGCGCTTTAGATGTCCTAGTGCGTTGGATAGTCTCAGTGACTGAAAGTCTTTAACAGATTATGGATGATTACCGTGTGGCGGATAAAGTATGCAAACTCACCTCCGCGGACGACAGGAGCAGAGTAAAGGTTCCGTCGGGCTTTCTAGTTTACGGGGGGAATTTACCGCCAGATTGCTTCAACCTATTGATACCTTGTCACCTCGCGAACGTGCCGCAAATAGAAAACAGTCGGTCGTGCCTCAAAATCAAGATGAATTGCCGTGCCCTAGGACCCACGATAGCTGTAATCGAGGGCCGTACCTCGGAGACGACTGGAAGACCTTGCGTACGCACTGTGCAGGTCTTCTGTGGCTCATAGCAGGCCACTCGATCGGGTGGAACACCGTGCAAAGGCCCTGGATGTCCGTTATTCTAAACTTGAATCCATCCGTCAGGCACTAGACTAGTGGGTAGGGGCGCACATCGAGAGTGAGATGACGGCCAGTACGCCGAAATAGCTGCCGAGTACCTCTCGCTAGGCTGAACCAGGCACGACGAAATTCCGGCCGGCTGATCCACAGCATACCGTACAAGCGAGGTCTGTATCAACGCGCAAGTCCGGGAGTTCGCATCTTGTCTCATATTCTTCGCACCCGACGATTGGTAGTCCATCTGATCGTCAATATTGTGCTAGCTATCGCGCCGTCGGGACGTCCCCCGAGAGCCAGCGCCGGCGCGGGCGTGGGGCCTCGTGGGGCGGGCTGCACGCTAAGACCTAAGCTAAACCTCTCAGGCTCCTGTTTGTCCCACCTATAAGATGAGACACTCGATATGACTAGTGCGCATATATGATCGAACAGCTGAGGAGTGTACCGGGCGGATGCTGATTATTAGAGTTCGAACGTTGACAGAGTGAAACTGGAGGAAACAGATTGGAGCGACCCAAAGCGATCGATGTTCCGAAAGCTATGGTCACAGATCACATGGAAGGGGAGAATGCACGAGAACGAGGGGCAAGGCAAGAGACAGCAAGATCCAATAGATGCACAGGATCGAAGGACGGGTTCTTGCAATGTCATACAATAGGAAGAGTGGCGACAGCAGCAGCCGGCTCGATTTTCTCCTCGGTGAGGGTATCGCAAATAGTGGTATCTGGCGCAGTTTGTAAAGTAGTGTCTTGGCGTACTTGAGATCTTGGATTGAAAGCCATGGCTGACATATTCGAGGCTCCAGTATCCTCAGGCAGGCTAAGGCGACGAAGGTTCAATAGGACATGCGAGCCCTGTAGACGACATGATCAAACGAGGTCGTCACGTAACGCCGTGATGCATACCGCGAAGGACATGGCAGCGAAAGCCCAGCCATAGCCCATCCCCACCAGTGGCGTCTTGTTTAGTTTGTACATGAGCATGTTCAAGAGCATTGCCACTGAAGATGCTGATCAGCTCGCTGAAATGAGCTCCCCGTGAGGCATCTCACCGAAGATGAGGGCAAAAGCCCATGTACCGTCTCTTACGAAGATGAATACAATGGATGTCTTGCTGCGAGATATGCTCTGGAAGAACTTGATCAAAGTCAAGACGAAGAGGAACGTCTCGAAAGCCAGGGATGATAGCCTACCACACAATGTTATTTGATTCCTATAACCGCGACAAGTGGAGTACATACCAGTAAGACATGAACAGGCTAGGCGCGTGAGCGACAAGGCAGTCCGGGCTGAACGTCATTTGCGGTAGCACTATGGAGAGACATACAATCATGACGGTGACTTCTGCGATGAAAGCCAAGATGATCGCCCATAGGATTAGCTTGTTCTGGTTATAGAGGACATATACTGGCGATAACCGTCAGCCGTGCTAGATTCGAGTCTGCCGGAAAGAAATACTTACGCCGCATGACGAGCACTGCCTCCACGACGAAGGTAAGCACTTCGACAAAGATCAGCTGTTCGTACACCCATCCTCTGCAGCCGTTACTTGAGAAATGAGCGTGGGTATCCAAGGCGAAGAGTGCGCTACGGGTGATGTCAATAGTACTTTCGCAGAACGTGTTGGCGCAGCTTACCCTCCATGCAAGATTGGAGTATAGCGAATGAACGCATATGCCCACTTGACCAAAGATCTGGGCCGTCTGCAGCATAGTACTGTGAGAGCTACCTCAATGGAACCACATGTGCACTCACCGCCATATACACTCGATCTAGAGTGTCGGGACAGTTCGTTAGGCCGTTTGTTAGTCGATGATCACTTCGATTGCTCACCTCCAGATCAAAGTGGATAGCTGCATCCCACGCTAGCCATGCAGTAGCACACGCTGTGTGTTCGCGGGTCGCTAGATCGGCACATGCCCCAGCGTCTGGGAGACGAACATACCGGTGGCATACGTGACTTGAACTCCTAGCTCGATGTCTGTGGGGGAGCGCATGGGACTGCAGCTCGTCGGAGACCGTGCCTACCTCTAGGCATTCGCGATGAGGGAAGGAGAAGATCGAACGAGCACACGATGTACAGGATTCTAAAGTATTAGATTGCCATCCAGAACGGATGCTATTGCCCGACCTCGGAACGCGAGCTGTCGCGCGGAGACTGGCAGCATGCCTCGAAGCACCGTGTACAAACCGCCGCACAAGCTTCTCGCAGGGTAATGGGCGGCTCCGCCGGGGCTTCCCCGGTACACGTGTACGGACTGTTTTCAATAGAAGCGAACACCATGCGCTGCTCGCACATCGGTGGGTGGAAAAGCGCAGGACTGGATGGATTCTAGTGTAGGCAGAGGCTCTCAGGGCTCCGTCCACGGCGGAGGATCCGTGGGAACACAGATGTCGGGTTACGGAAGATTTCATTGGTCTACCGGCCTAGAATGGCATCCGCAGGACGCATGATTTGGATGTGGTGGCGGACTCTGGGAGGTGGCGAAGTCCACCATGGGAAAAGATCACCAAAGAGCAAACCGGGCAAAGAGTGGAGCAGTCCTGAGAGTATGTCGCGAAGACTGTGCCTGATTACCGCTGCTTTAAGAGATGCTGCGTCAGGTTACGCGATGAGAATACACCACCTTATTGGAGGGCGGCGTTGGCCCTTCGACTGGTATGCAGTGTCTTAGCATCGCAACAGCTTGACGAGCCAGTGACGATGTCCTCATGGATATCTAGATACCACATCAACGCAGAAAGTTGAACTAAGCGGAAGGTCAACTTACAGCTAGGGTCGCCCAGCAATGCCTGCGTATCATCGCTATCTCTAGGGTGTCCTTGGCATCTCTGGGAAGAGCCTCTAAACCAACTTCTCATACGGCAGACACCGCAGTGCTCCGAGCGAACAATCTGTTCCCGGAGACGAACTGAGAACGGGGATGCAGCATTTCGATCAGTCTTGGCAGGCATCTGCAAACAACGAGATGCTCCATCTCAGTGGGAAGATGCGTATGCGCATAGAAATGCCTATATCTACATTAATATCAGCCATTGTGATCTCACCGTCAGATCATTCATCGCCGAGTTCTTCAAGCCTGCTGCCATGTCTATACGCGCTCCCTACCTGACAAGCTGCGGCACAGCGATGATGTTCGTGGGATACGAAGCCGCATCGGCGTCCAACGGCCAATCTCGGTGAAAGGCTTGCAGGAAGCCCGCAAACTGGCACGGACGGAAAAGAGCATTGGTAATGACTGGTTGAATTGAAGAGACAGTCTTATAGACACTGGTAGGGCCGCGACAAGGAGAGCGGTAAGTGATGCCAGTGAGAAGAACGGGGAGTGCAAGCACTCGCCAGCAGTACAGAGCACGTCCCAAGACCGCTACACAGAGCCTTGACGTGCACGCAAACCCACGGTTGTCATCGGAAACCCGTCGCTCGTTTCGGTCTGCCGAGTAGTGTCCCAGCCGTCTGGAACTGCCCCAGCTGGGAAGCTGGAAAGCTCGTGGATTGACGAAGAATCTTTGTTCATTCGTATTCCAAGCCGCCGGATGTTGAGCAGGACGTGGGATCCCTGAAGAACACAGGCTGAGCAGGAATTGAATAGCCGTGGGCTTGTAGAACGTACGGCGAATGACATGACACTCAGTGCCCAGCTATACGAGACAGCCGTCAGAGCATGCAAGGTATAAATTCGACAGTTATATAGCTCACAAATATCCCATACCAGCAAGAGGAGTCGTGACGAGCTGGTACATTAGAGTGTTCAATAGCATAGCGGCTGGGTCGTATAGTTCAGCTCAAGCCAGACGTATGCATACAATACATACAGAAGATTATAGCATACGCCCAGGTGCCGTCACGGACGAAGAGGAAGAGTATCGAGTGTTGACGATATTCCAGTTTAATTCCTTGGAAGAACTTATATAGCGTCAGAACGAACAGGAACGTTTCAAAGAACAGCGAAGATAGCCTGGTGATAGTATTAGCAATATCCGGTGCGTGAAGAAAAGCAGTGTGCACCAATAAGCCATGTAAATTCCCGGAGAGCTTGCGACGAGGCAGTCGGGAGTGAAAGTCTGCTTTGGGATGACCAGTGCTAGCGTGGTAACCATTAATGCAACTTCTGCAGCAAAGCCCAAAACAATGATGCTTGCTATGATCTTACTCCGGTTGTACATCGCGTACACTGGCGGCAGGTGTCAGCACCCAGAGAATAGTCCCAGGCGAGTATGCTCTGAAAAATACCTCGGATAATGAGAATCATCTCCACGACGACTGTCACGCACTCAATGACCACCAGCTGGTCGATAATCCACCCTCGGCATCCGGACGAAGGGTACGTACGATCAGCAGTAAGCGTCAAGACAGCTCTAGCAGTGTGACAGCATCAGTTTCCGCGATTGGTTTGGCTCCAAGAACAGCGTACCCTCCATTGAGAATTGGTATGTAGCGCACAAAGGCATACGCGTATTTTACCCAAGTTTGTGGACGTCTGCGAGATTCGAGTTGAGAGAGAGGTCAGCTGCGAGCCGGCGACCAAGAAACTCACCGCCAGATACAGTCGACCTCGCCACGCGAATAATCCTGTCAGGCGGTTGACACCCCTCTGTTGTGAGCTGTGCGCACCTCAACATCGAAGTGTATCGCCGTGTCATACAACATCCACATGACCGCCGAAACTAACGAGATCATGCGTCACAAAAACCAGAAGAGTTTCGGATTGGTATCACCTGCGCCATAGCTCGTGTAGAGCTTGCCTTGCGCGATGGTCGCTTTGTCGTGCATGGAGTACAAATTCTACTCAAGAAAATTTTACTCGGTAATTAAAGGCGGGATAACAGCCGTACAGCCACCTTGAGAAAGATAACCGAGATGACTTGCGGGGCACCTTAACGAGCGAGCGTCGAAATCAGAAGCTAGGGCGATCTGAAACACTTGCCGCCATGAATCTGAGGAACTGGCACACGTTCCGGAAATACCAGCTTACCTCGTGTTGTTCACAGAAGGTTTCTTGGAGTCGTACATGTATACAGTACATGGCAAGCGAATCTCAGGGCGGAGCGAAAGAAGCTCAGAAGGACAGTCGATCCATGCGGTGGGCCGAGAGCAAAGAAGCGGCCCGGTTCTCTGAGTCCGCCACCCCCTTGAGCCGCAGTACACCAAGTCACAGATGGCAAGGCATGTCGGACTGTGCCATAAGGAGAGCTGGGCGTCGTAGACCCACAACGAACTGCGTTAAGACCACGGGTCGGCAAGCGCCAAATGATGCTATTACAGCGCACCTCGCTGGCAACTGCAAAACGCCGCATCTGATACCGCTAAATTTCAGGTACAGGTAAAAGGCTAATGTCAAGAACGAGGCAGCGGACATACGTCATAACAACGGTCGACTAAAGGAGGCTAGAGGTTGCATTTAACGTAAAGTGTCGCCATATGTATCGTCCTTAGTTACGAGCTCACCGGGGGAGCATGTGTATGTGAGAAATTAGAAATACCAACAGACCTATGTTCGACCGAAGTGTCCCCTGTCCTCGATGCTGGCGGCCGATCATTGGTTCTACGATGACTATATGCAGTATGACGGCGAGTCAGCACGATATTGTCGTTTGACAGTTGGTATGCCTTACATTTCTCACTC